AATTTACTAGATAAAAATAAATATAGAACTATGTATTTGAGATTTTCTTTTGGTAAAAAAAAGTTCTGCTTAATGTTTTATAGTGAATAGCATCTACCGCATGCACTGCTCCAAATCTATGAAAACTCTTTAAATTTTTATGGAGAAATACAGTACAACCATACTAACAAAAAATCTAACTGGCAGTCGTATGGAATAAGGGAGACCACTGGGATACATGCTCTTCTCCTAATTGAGTTACTTGTTTAGTTTTTCCCTACTAATGTGGGTACTAATTAAAAAATTTAAATATTTATTTGGATTGTTTTTTTGTTTGCATTTTTTGAATACTTATTTAGATTTTAATCTAGTTTGAGTGTTATCGATATTTACACTATCATCCGAAAAAATCCGTTCAGATATTTTTAAAAATTTAATCGAGTAGAGATTCAGAGTTTACATTCAATTTGGATATCGGGTCAAATTACAAATGTTCCTGTACAAAAAGAAAAAAAAAAAAGAGAAAAGAAGAAAATATTGCTAGGCACATACGACTCTCCGACGAACTGGAGTGGTAAAAGTCCTCGATAACAAAGAAGATATTGGTCGACACGACATGAAGCCAACGAACTAGAGTAAACGGTGGAAATGTCCCTAACTACGTGGCATCTCCCGCCCAATAATCCAGCTAGTTAGTTATCAAAGATATGAAATCCTCAACCACTTAAATTACGCCACATAAGCAAACACGCGAAATCAACCGCATCACTAACTAATCACGTGAAGAAGCACGGAATAATTGAGTGCACCGTAACGTACAAAACTGAAACTAATAATAATAATAATATTTAATTTATTTATCTCTCTGTTCTCTTCCCCCAAGATAGATCTATCGGAGGGAGACACACATTCACTCCCTTTTTTGACTTCACTTTTTTCTATTTTTATTTTTTGAGGTGAAAAGCTGATTTTGTCTCTTTCCTACTTCTCCGGCGTCAACGGTGGATCCGTCGTACTATTAGAGGTCAACGATGTCATTCACTGCGCCGGAATTCGATTACAGAGTACGACTTCCTCTCTCTCTCACTCACGAATCTCCAATTATCTCTCTCTCTTTCTGTATAATGCTCATTGTGTTTGCTTCTTCTTCTTCTTCTTCTGCAGTTTGGTTTCTCAACGATCGGGTGAGTTCTCTCCACATTTTTATGTTTTTTGTTCTTCGGTTTGACTCTGTTTTGACGAACAGGGACCATAGCTTCGCCGATGTGGATAACCTGGAGCACTGTGTAAAGTACTTGAACCAGAGCTTAGTCACTTACGGATTCTCATCTTCTCTCGACCTCTTCGCTACCGATCCTGTGCGTCTTTCTCTTTTTAATCTTTTCTTTTTCTCTTATGATTCTGATTCGACAAGATTTGTTGTTTATTAGGTTTCGATCGCGAGGACTTGTAATTGCATATACGCTTTAATTCAGCAGAGGCAGCGTGATGTGGAGTTCAGAGAATCTACTAATGATCAGAGACAACGGTGACTCTTTTCTTTGCTTTGTCAATCTTTATATGTGCACTGTCAAGCTTTTTTTTTCTTCATGTGTTATATATTGCTTCTAAATCTATCACTATGAACGAGATGATATTGGATCGTTATGTGATCTAGATCTTGCTAATATGTATAGAGTGGATCTTATCACTGTTTTTGGGTTTTGTGTGTGTTTTAGAGAGTATACTTCTAGTAAAATTCTTCCGTGTGGACAAAGGAAGACCAAATTTTCGGACAGAATCTGGTCTGAGCAAGATGGATTGCTGTGTGATCTTAGATCATGCTGTATCACTGTTTTTGGGTTTATGTGTGTGTTTTGAGAGTATACTACTAGTAAATTTCTTTTGTGGGGACAAGAGAAGACAACAAGTTTCGGGCACAAAGTTACTGGAAATGCTACATTTTTTTATGTATGTTTGAGAACATTTTTGTTTTAAAAACCAGTTTCTTGTTTGTTTCAGGCTTTTATCCGACATGGCGAGACTGGAGGCGAAAGTTGAGAGACTTGAGAATCAATTGCAAGCCAAGGAGAGGGAGCTTTGTTCTGTCACAAGAACGGAAGCAAAAAACACAGCCGCTTTAAAGGCGCAGAATGAGAAGCTACAGAAAGAGAGAGATGAGTTTCAGCGGATGGTCATTGCCAACCAGGTTTGATCACGTTTCAAAGATAATTTCAGTACTAATGCTATGGTCTTTGAACATTTTGGTTTTTTTTTTGTATGAAAGCAAGTCAAGACTCAACAATTACATGAAACAAAGAAGAAAGAAAAAGAGTACATAAAGCTACAGGTGTGCTTTCTGTTCACAATATATGTTGAATCTTATTAAACTGAACATGGGAAAAATTAATTTTGTTTTAGGAGAGGTTAAACCAAGTGTTGATGGAGAAAAAGAAGGAAACCAAATCAGGCATGGAGATCATGAATCTACTCCAGGTACTGAAAACTTATCGAGTTTTATGAAAGTAGCAGCATCTTTCGCTTACTTAAAGTTTTCGTGTGCAGAAAGAAGGGAGACAACGTGGAACATGGAGCGGGAAGAAAACTGATTCTGACTTCTACAAAAAGATTGTAACTAGCATGACACGATATTATAGCTTTATATTGGATGAATATACTTATAAAATGGGTACAATATGATCTTGCCAGGTAGATGCATACGAGGCTAAAAATCAAGAACTAATGGCAGAGAACACCGACTTGAGAGCGCTATTGCGATCCACTCAGGTTTTATTTCTTTTCCGTTTCTTGAAAAGAGAGAAACTTTATGATCCTATTATTAATGACAATAGTTATTTTGACAGGGAGACATGCGTTCTTTCTTGAATGCTAATGGAAGAACGAGCTTAGACGACCCGTCTCAGTCTCCTTTGGGCGGGAAGACGGTACGTTAATTTCATTATAAGCTAAATCAAGATTCAATTTATAAACAATCAAAAACATCAGTACCAACAAGGAAAAAAAATGTCTTTAATTGACAGGATGTTTTCGACCTACCTTTTCGTATGGCTCGAGGTCAGATAGAAGATAGTTTACGCACTAAGATGGTTTCCATCAAGGTAAAAGTGGTATCCCGAAGTTGACACTTCCGAGCTTTTTTAATAGCTTCGTTTCTACGTAACATGTTCTTTTATTGGGTTAATGAAGGAACGCATGGGTCAGTTAGTAGACGCACAGAAAGAAGTAACAATTACCTCAGAAGCGTCAGAGAGGGAGCTTGAACTTGAAGCACAACTCGTTGAGGCACGAAGTATAATTCAAGAACAGGTACTCTTATTAGATTTCTCAACTGCTATGATCATCTAGAAACATTGCAAAATCTACAATCGTATATCTTTTTATTTTTATGTAGGAATCTATAATGTCTAAGCATTTGCCAAAGACAGACCGGAGAAGAAACTCAGCTCCTCTTCCACAGTCTCTCAATGGACTTCGTGGCTGACTTAGATTGTGAATCTCTCAGGTGCAAAATATATCAAATCTCCTAACAAGGAAATGTCCCATGTCTTCTCCAATCAGTTTACAGAAGAGTTTATATGAACTATTAATGAATGTGGATTTGTACTTGTAACATTGTACATAAGAAACATCTCGCGTTTATTTTTGGAGACAATTACATAATATAATAAGACACTTTTCTAAGAATTTATAACAATTTGGAACACTTTCCGCTACCAATCAATTTTTGCTAACTAAAGTCTTTGAAAATCTAATGTTATTTTCTATTTAGTCAAGGACTAGTTATATGCTAAACACACTATTCTTCCCTAATTTATTTTTTTCAAGATTTCCTAGAACCTTGAATCAAAGTCTGATATGCTCTCCTACCAAAAGTAAAATTTCACAAGCTCTTCTCCATTTTTCTGTTTTAATTTATTTTATTTAAATTGGAACAATGGAAAAGACTACAAATCCAAGGCAAATTTAACTAATTGCAATTTGACCGACGGGACTATCCAACCATAATATTATGCCACTCCCTAAATCCAAATTCACTCCTAAACTTAAAAATCTACAGATTCAAAATATGCCTCTAGTAAATCAATCATAACTTCTTGGATACAGATTCAATGACTTAACCACATCCATTAGAAAGCAAACTCAATCTACTATGCCGTCAAAAGGATGAACTTCCAAATATATCTTTAAGACTTTCATACATGTTGATCTTTCACTCAACTAAAAATTACCCCAATCACCTCCATGTTCTCCAAGAAGCATCTCTTACACCTGATTATGACACTCCTTTAACTCAAAAATACCCCAATCACCTCCAAATTCACCAAGAAGCATCTCTTACACCTGATTATGACAAATGCAAATGCTATGCACCTAAATTAACTCAATGCTTCTTTTTTTTCTCAACCCTCAAAATGCTTCTAAATGTCAAATTGGGAATCAAAATGATGGATAAAACAATGCAAAATTAAGAGATATCAGTCGGCTTTGTTTCTTTAAATCGTATTCCAATCTTGTAGTAGGTGTTGATGTTTTATTATTAAAATTTCATTATGAAAAATGTGAATGGTACATTAAGGCATCTTAACTAATAAAATTGCCTTTTTTTCTCTCCATCGGGAAAAAAAAACACATGGCATCTATTTTGCTGATGAGCCTTACGATTTTTTGTGTGGGCTAATGGTTATGTTTGGTCGTGCTAATCTTAAGGCCTCTCAATCATAAGAAACCCAAGAAACCCAAGAAATCCAAGAAATATCTTTCTTTGTTTCTTCTGCCGCGCCATGAATCGGTAGAGTTCGCCATAGCTTACAATGCAGCGGTTGCCATTACTACTTTTTCTTCTTCTCTCCTTTACTCCACATTTATCTGTGTTTACTCCACCTCCCCTCATTCAAGATGAACTCTGGCCTTCATAGCTCGACCTATTTTGCTTCATGTATAAATAACCTTTCTTACAGAAGTGAGTTTCACAACTCCAGAGAGAAGAGAAATCACTGTCCGTTCATTTTCGTTAGATTACCATGGCTCTTTTCAACATCTTTCTCTCAGACATGAGATCCGGCCGATGCTCCGACACGGTGGAGGTCCGACTACTCCGATTCTGGGAAGCTCGGAACGTGAGGAAAGGTGGCGAATTGATGAGTGTTGACATGCTGTTTGTGGATGCTGATGTAAGACCTTCTTTCCTTTTTCAATTTTTTTAAACGATTTTTCCTGTTATGGTTCTGACGGTTTCTCTCTGTTTTGTTTTTCTTACTGCTTTCCAACAAGAGACGGTTACCCAAGGAACTGTTGCTGCTACTCGTCAGCTCAGGTTCCGGGATCGCCTCACTGAAGGATCAGTGTATACTTTGCTTAGCTTTACGATTACCTCGAGAAACTTATCTAAAAACGGCATCGTATCAGGAAATGGCTCGGAAAGTCATAAAACGCGATAAAAGCCACTCGCGACTTTAAACGAAGTCCAACCCGAAGATACGACGACGTTTTGGCGATTTACTCGCAGAAAGAAGATAAATGTCAAACTTGAAAATAAATGTCAAGTTTGAGGATAAATAAAAGATTTCCGCGGGAAAAAAATGAAAGATCGAGATAAATGGAAGATTCCCATTAAACTCGAATCTGGGCGAAATGGAAAGACTAAACCGCCTAGGAAGGGAGTATATAAGCAAGAGGCATAGGGCAGAAGCAAAGGGACGAATTTCAGAGCTCTCATCTGAGACTTTTACAACTTTTCTAGACTTAGAATTTTCCGCGCTTAGAAACTTAGGCTTTTTCTCAACAAGTTCGGTTTCTATGACTGGCGCTCAATTACTAGACGAAATTGCCCAGGCAGTTTGATCTCTGGTCCAGCTCTATCAATTGAACTACGTTCGACTTGATCCTCGAAAGGGGTACGTAGGCAGCCTTTCATAAGGTCCAGTCCGAAATCAGTCAAACCTTTCTTCCTATCTTTTCCCGTCTTTCGTTATCGAGCTGCGACTCGACTAGATCTAGGGTTTTATGTTTGTAACTCGCTGATGGCCCCTGCGGCCAAAGCCTTTGTAATGATCGCAACGCTCTTACGCGAATCGGAAATAAGATCGACTTTCTTTATAAATTCGTTTTATTGCGTTTTTCATATTTTCCGCATTTACTTGGTTACTTGTCGTTGGCTTTCGCAGAGATCCGGTTCCTCTGGAAAATTAGGGTTTTCCTAAGTTTCCTTATTTAACGGAAATCGACAAGTGTGAATCTCGGTTCCCACACAGATGAAAGTGATACCTGATATACCATGATTTTGACCCACTTTTAGTCATGGTATTGATATGTTTTTATGATAGTTATATATGTTTTGGAGTCTATTTAGAGTATTTACAGGTTCAGGTACGTCCTGGTGAAATATGGTGATTTTGGTGTCTTTTGGAGCCTTAAAGTGCAGAACTGCGCAGACGCGTCAGATGTTTAGATATGGATGGAGACCTTCCCATATTGATATTTAGCCCATCTTTTGACACAAGATATAGCTTTGAGTTAGCTTTCCAATTCCACCGGTTTGAGGTCAATCCAACGGTTAGATCAGAAGTTATGCCCGTTTTACTGAAGAGTGGTCAGTCTGCCTCGCGAGAGAAGGCTGTCGAGAAGATATGTGCATGTCGATCGATGGGAGACACCTCATATCGGTCGATATGAATGCCAGAACGTGGACTGACTATATTTCATAACCGACTGAAGCCCACACGTTACCATAATACCCTTGGACGACCAGAAACCCTAGTGATGATATTTATAAGCCATTGTTGACGGCTACACGGAATCTAAGCTTTTCTAAGTTCTTTTCTATGTTTCTCTTAGTTAGGAGAGAAGGGAGAAACTCTTATCAGAGTCCTCCTGGAACTCCATTGGTTTTTATTATCTATTCTATTTCAGTTTTATATCTATTCATCAATGATTTTTGTGACAATCTTCATGTCTGAATAGATCCACCTGTTGGATTTAGGGTTTAGATAGGTTGTGAGATTAGCCCCAACTATAGATTGATAAGTTGTAATATTCATTGTTAGGATGTTCTTAATGCTTGTTTCTAGAGTCATGAACTAGAACCATGAACTGGAATAGTTTAATTTATTAATCTTCATCATGATATCATCCTATACAAACTCAGACTCTATTAGGCACGATGCGATAGCCGGTCTAATAGATGTTCTCGGGTGGATACAGTTTCAATTCGATCAGATGCTATATCGATCGATACTCCTATGGAGAAATCGATCGATGACAAAGCATATCGATCGATAGTAGCGATAGCAACATCGATCGATATTGTCGGCAAAGATCAATGGACAGTCTAACCAGCGACAGCTGTAGATTTGTCTAAGGATTGAAGTCCTCATATATTTGCAAGCAACTTGTTAGGCATCTATAGTATTATAATCTTGATTACCTGAATGGAAACCCTAGATCTAGCAACCATCCTTCCATAAACAACTCCTTGCCAAATTGAACGATTACCTTGTTCATCTTGTTTACTGCTTTACTTTATTTATTTACTGCATTAAAACTTATTAGCCTAGCTTAATCATATAACTATTAGATCTATTAGGTTCCCTAGCTCCACGTGAATTCGATCGCTAAGTACTACAATTGAACCTCTTATTTGAGAGAGTAAATCACTTCTTAGGGTAATTTGAGTGATATCAAATTTGGCGCCGTTGCCGGGGAGCTTTGATCGCCATTAGATCTTGTTTAGTTAGATTTAGTCTAGGTTTTGTTATTGTTTTAAAATACTGATAAATTTTTTCTTCTTTTTCAGGTACATACATCTCAGTACCAGAAACAATGAAGAGAGGATTTCTAGTTCCTTCAAGGAAGGAGCCTGCTGGTTCACGCTTATCGATCGACACCTTCCAAGCAGAATCGATCGACAACGTATACCAGACATCGATCGATATGGCACACCGTCAATCGATCGATAAGCTACAAGAACCAATGATCGATAGAGCCAACCAACCTACCAACAACATCATTCGGCCAAACACTGTTCATCCGGCTACTGTTCATCGCGCTACGGTTCACCCGATATCGATCGACAGCATTCATCCGATGTCGATCGATACTGTTCACCACAAGTCGATCGACACTCATAGTCGAACATCGATCGACGAAGCCTCGCTGGGAGCAGGTAAGTTTTCTATAAACACATCTATTAATCAGGAAGTAGTTCAAATTGGACCAATAGGTGAAATAAGCAATGCAATTAGCCAAAATAAGAATAAACATGGGACCACAATCCCTGTTACAATCCATTCCACCTTGAATAAAGGTGAAGAAATAAAATTGCCTTTGCCAAACTACAAAACCCCTGTTCCCCTGAAATCGATCGACACGGCTCACAACGCGTCGACCGATACTACCCACCCGAAATCGATCGATACGGCTCACCGCGCGTCGACCGATACTATTCTTCCAAGGTCGACCGACACTGTTTTTGGAAAGGAAGAAAATTTTGACTCCGAGCAGAAAATTAAGTACATCCCTCTTATGAGTCAGAATCGCTTTCATGGTTATCTTGACGAGCAACCGATAGATCATACTGAAATGTTTGAAGACCTAATCTGGTCTCTCTTTGATGAAGCCCCTGAAAACTACCACTTCTGCAAACTCTTTCCTTTCACTCTTGCTGGAGAAGCAAGATGTTGGTTCAAAGAGTTGCCACCAGAGTCTCTCAAAACATGGATTGATACCGCGGAAGCCTTCTTCAATAGATTTCTCTTTGACACTCCACACAAACTAAAGCTTGAGTCCACAACGAGATATGTGGTGGAGGATGATGAACAAGAAAAACATACTGGTGATATGACGCCTACATCGGTTGACACCATAACTTCTACATCGACCGATACCACGATCTTTCTATCGGACGATATCATTCACCCGTCATCGATCGACACCATGATTTCATCATCGGTCGACACTGATCAACGAGACCCTGCTCATCATGGTACTGTTCATCCGACAGCCGACACCACTAGCATGGAGACAGAGAAGGACGAAGGGCTCATACTCAAGAGATATTTTTGGGCGTCAGAATGCTCCGGGTTCATCTTCGTCAGCTCTCGGTTCATCTACGATTCCCGAGACTCAGGGAGCTTCTACGGCGTCCCCGCAACCACCTCCTCCTCCACCACCTCCTCCTCCTCCTCCACCGGTCGGAGTTCATCCCGATTTGCAGGTGCCACCGAACGCACCCTTTGCGGTGTACACGGTGGAGGATATTTTGGCCCTTCCAGGCAGAGAAGGGCTGCCAGAGTTAGATCCTATCCGACGGGACGGTCAAAACGTATTATGGTATGTTTTAATTTTTAAAAAGTTTTTCTAATTTATTTCTTAATTAACAAAATATTTACAAATTAATCTAATTAATGATTTATTTTGTGTCTTTCCAGGTTTGGTCTTGACAATTGTGTCGGAACTACCGTCACGAACTGTATCAAGGGATACTTTCCCGATGCAGCTCCAAACTGGAAGATGACGGCGAGCCACACAAAAAGACGTGGTTCAAATCGTTCGCTGTAAGTTTAATGACTTAATTTATTTTTAATTATTTAAAATTATTAATATTATTGAACTAATCCGTCTCTTATTTTTTCTGGTTACAGCAAAATTATCGTTGGTCTATTGGGATTCACCAGCGGGTGAAGAAAGAGTTTGAGGCCAAGGCAAGAGCACGATTGCTCGACATGGTCTACAACTGGAAGGGCGACTATCAGGTATAGATTTATAAATTATAATATATATATAGTTTTAAAAATATTATTGACTTTAATTCTAATGTTTTTAAATCAGGTGGATGGTTACGAGGACGGGAAACCCAATTGCCTCACAACCACGGTGTGGGATGGCCTCATCAGCTATTGGGGGTTGCTGGACTCGGTCAGAACCTCCCCCACAAACTCCGAGAAGCGCATGACCAGAGACGAGCATGGCAACACGAAGATGCTTCACACCACGGATCGAAAACCTCACGGGGGAGTTCGTGTAGACATGGTAAGATGATTTTTAAAAACTATTTAATTTTTATTTTATTTGAATATTTCAAATTAATATTTAATTTTAAAAATTATTTTTAGGCTAAAGAGACAGGAGTTCTTCCATCTCTGAAAGACCTTTACGAGAGGACCCATCGGAACAAGGCTGAGCAGTTTGTAGATCCTGCTTCCGAGCGGATCTACAACGAGATTGTTGCCCGAGTTGACGAACGCTAGACCCAGCTGACTCAGCAGACTGGGACTCCAGTCATTTTATCCACTCTTGAAGTGGATAAGATTTACGAGGAGGTAAATAATTTGTTTTACT